ATATATATATATATATATATATATATATTAATATTAACTGTCAATATATATATATATATATATATATATATATATATATATATATATATATAGATAGATAGATAGATAGATAGATATATAGATAGGATAGAATCCAGGTAGAACTAAATGTTCAGGACAGAGTAAGAATATAATATAAAAGGTTCAATATATATACTTTTGATCTCTATGTCTACAGATTCAATATCTCCGATAAGGAAAACTTATCAGCAATATAGAAGATTTATATATATATATATATATATATATATATATATATATATATATATATATATATATATATATGTGAAAAGTGAATATAAATATAAATAAATATATATATATGTATAATTATTTATATATTATATGCGTACTTATTAGAAAGCGCTCAATATCAGGGATAGAGCTAACATTGGATTTGGTTGGATTTATGATGTGAGTTTGTGACCCTTTTTTTCACCATTTTATTGGTGAATCAAGTGGTGACAAAACTGATTACCACTTTTTAAAAATTTGGGTTTAACCCAAATTTTTTAAAACATTAATCAGTTTGTCTGACGATCGGTGAAGGTGAAACCCAGGTCACAAACCCACATCTATCCAACTATATATATATATATATATATATATATATATATATATACAGTTGGAATTAAAATACCTTCAGTTAATGACCACTTTCACCTAGGACTCGCCTGGATTATACCAACCCATTACTACTTATATATACATATATATATATATATATATATATATATATATATATATATATATATATATATATATATATTTATATTGGGGGGTCTGTGTCTCTGTATTTATTCTTATATGTATATAAACATATCTATATGTATTTGTGTATCTGTTTGCGTGTGCGTTTGTGTTTGTATGTGTCAGTAGGACATAGAATCCACACAAATATGTAATAAACTGGACTAAGTGAGAAAGCATTCTTTTTGACTTGGCTACGCGCTTCGCCTTCCTCAGATAGGATTCCGCGAGTCAGAACGAAATGAAGTCTAAGTGTTAATTATTGCAGCACAGTTAAATAGATAGATAGATAGATAGATAGATAGATAGATAGATAGAGAGAGAGAGAGAGAGAGAGAGAGAGAGAGAGAAAGTGTGTGATTTCTTTTGTCCTGAACCGTGAACGCCTATTTTAGGAATCCTGTTTTTGTGTAATTTTTCAATATATATATATATATATATATATATATATATATATATATATATATATATATATATATATATATATATATATATATATATATATATATATATATATATATATATATATATATATATATATATATATATCTTTGTTTGTCGTATTAAATATATATATATTGAATACGACAAACAAGGTGCTTTTGGTTTTAAATCAAAGGACTTTGTTTGCTGTATAAAATGAAATAAGCATATATATATATATATATATATATATATATATGTGTGTGTGTGTGTGTGTGTGTGTGTGTGTGTGTGTGTGTGTGTATAATGATTACATATATTTAGTAGTGCAGCGTTTTTTATCAAATATTTTGTTAAATATCTATCTATATAAGTGCCTGTGTGTGTCATGGTGTTTGCGTATGTGTTTGAAGGCGCACACACACACACACACACACACACACATATATATATATATATATATATATATATATATATATATATATATATATATATTCAGATTTGTTATTTTATGCTGCAAGGCACAGAGGAGTAATGGATAGCGACTCGGACTTAGGAATCATTCACTTCCGTGCTAATACCCTTAGGAAAAGAATAAATCTATTTCTCCCCCGCCAGATATGGGTAAATAGCAGAACAGACTGGGAAAAATCTGCATCGTCAGTCATATATCGAAAGATACATGATTGCCTAAGAGTGTATCAAGCATGGCACATTGATGGTGGAAGAGTGGTCAGTTTCATAGTGCGTATTACAGATATAGGACGTTGTGGATATAGAAATCAAAGCTGCATGTTGATTGTCAGTTTCCATTTGTATATCGGTTGGGGTATAAAACTCTCTCTGTCTCTCTCTCTCTGTTTATGTCTGTCTCTCTCGGTCTCTCTCTCTCTCTCTCTCTCTCTATATATATATATATATATATATATATATATATATATATATATATACACACACGGATATATATATATATATATATATATATATATCCTCCGTTAGTCTCGTATAGACTCCACTGAGGAGTATGCTGGCACAGCTCTTAATTGTTCGTTGCTGATATATATATATATATATATATATATATATATATATATATATATATATATATATATATATATACATACATGTGCATTGATATGTAATGAGTGTATCATTGTTCATGGTAGAAATATAGATAGAAATATACATATGAACACAACGAAATAGATATGAATAGATTGGGATAGATAGATAGATAGATAGATAGATAGATAGATAGATAGATAGATAGATAGATAGATAGGAACATATTGGGATAGATATGAACACGAGATAGATGTTACTTGATATTGTGAGCTGTCAGTCTTTATTACCTGGAACTTAGATTACTATTACACACACACACACACACACACACACACATATGGAAAACAAAGTCGTTCCCAACCCGTCGGTTTCGTTAGTGTTAGAATTTTGATTTTTGGCTAAGATTGTTCGTTTCACATTACTGCCTATTGGGAAAGTCATGAATCAATCTTTCTTTACACTTATTTTTTATCATCATATATCGTTGCAAAATTTCTCGTCACTTGCATTCCACCACAGTTTATGTAAAAATCATTGTGTACGAGTCAACATTTGATCAAATCATTCAGGTCGATTCGCTTTCCTTAACCAGGCAATAGTAACAAAAATTGAGTAGGCGGTATCGGCGTGGGTTAATAATTGTCGGTCGAATTTAACAAAAACTCATTTGAATTTTTATATATATATATATATATATATATATATATATATATATATATATATGTTTAGTATTTGAATGATAAAATGGAAAAAGAAATTCCTCCCACGAGTTTCGTCCTTCAAAAAGACTTCTTAATATTTTTATTGATGGGATCATATTTTCGTTAAAAAAAAATCTTATAATTTAAAATTTAAAATTATACATCACGCTCATCACGTTGAAACATCAGTTCTCGTACGATGACTGAACTTAAGCAATGTTGAGTCTGATCAAGTGGTTGTCCGCTTGGGTATACCAAGTGCTGTAAGATTTGATGTATGGGTGGTGTATTGGATAACGTCTCTGAAATAGAAATGGGAGAGCCGGGTTCTAATTCCAGTCCGGCTCGTCATATTCACTTACGCGCAAATTACTCTTGGGAAAGTTCTGAATTCACCTCTTCTCCCCGCAGCTATGGGTTAATTAGTAGCGCGTGTATTAATAAATTATTATCTCTAAAAAAATTCTTACATTCGAAAAAATACGTTTACAGGCTTTAAATAACCCGCAAAAGGTTGACAACCCGTAAGACAAATTAAAAAAAGTAAGCGATTATACGTTGCTGATTATACAGCGATGCTTAAGTTTTAATTTAAATTATAAATTTGTAGCGACCGTTGTATTAAAATGTATAATCATGTTCATCTTTCAACCGCTTTTTTATATGTTTTTATTACTGCGTTTAATTATTCTACATTGAAATAGTAATTTTGCTAAGAAAGTCAACTGCTTCTTGAACCTGTCTATCTATCTATCTATATATATATATATATATATATATATATATAAAATTTGGATTTTTGATGTAACTATGATAACAAAAACATTTCGACTTCCTTTTTGTCTTGAAAAGTCGGAAGACGAAACGCATCAGCAAAAAAAGTAATATATATATATATATATATATATATATATATATATAAATTTTGCACAGAAAGTATATATATATATATATATATATATATATATATATATATATATTTTTTTTTTTAGATAAATGTCAATATTTCAGGTTTACTTCAGGCAAGCCACTGTTGCCACAACATTGTTCATGCTAAAGATAACTCGTTCTTTGTTTATTTGATGTCCATTATCAAGGAAATGTGACAAACGAACCTCAGTTCCGACAGAATTGTTTAATTGAACACAAAGGAGAAGCACATGTTGAAATTAGACAATGTCCTCAATACAAAAACCAAGGATTAGCTACATGTGATTCTAACTGTGTATGTGAAGGTTCATGGAATAACACATATGGCTGCGTGAGACAACTCTCACCAACTGAAAACTTTAAGTATTGTGAATTTGAGGATCAAGATCATTTCATTGAGATGTATGACCTGAATAAGGATCCTTTTGAATTGACTAATATTGCTTCAACAGCTCACCCAAAGTTTGTATCACAACTGAGTCAGGAACTGGCAAAACTTTCTCTGTGTAAAGGAAAATCTTGTCAAGATACAACTTGATAATGGACATCAAATAAACAAAGAACGGGTTATCTTTAGCATGAACAATGTTGTGGCAACAGTGGCTTGCCTGAAGTAAACCTGAAATATTGACATTTATCTAAAAAAAGAAAATATATATATATATATATATATATATATATATATATATATATATATATATATATATATATAGGTAGGCATTTCGGTCCCACCCTTTCACTGTCAAAACGGTTAAATGGAGCTGTCTCTTCTACTCTAATAGCTTCATGTCTCGCATTCCCCGTCTGGAGAACTCCCTTCCGCTTACTTGCTTCCCTGATAGCTATAATCTCTAACTATTCAAATGCAATGTCAATTGACATCTCCAGATGGCTTGATATAATTTCCCGCCCTTCTCTTCATCCTTTCCTCTATCACACTTCTTTACTCTTGTTCCCACTCTCTGTAATCCCTTGCGTGCTAGTAGCAATCCCGCCTTGCTTGGGGTGATATATATATATCAGTCTGTTCATATCTATCTATCTATCTATCTATCTATCTATCTATCTATCTATCTATCTATCTATCTATCTATCTATTTATATATATATATATATATATATATATATATATATATATATATTTATATATATATATATATATATATATATATATATATATATATATATATATATATGTAATTATAAGTATAAGTAATTATACTGCCTGAAAAACCTTAGGTGTTTTGGCTTGTAAATGAACAAACCAATACCCAAAGAAAAAATAAGGAATAAAAAAAGAAAGAACTAAGGACATGTAATTGAGACGAAAACAATCGTCCAGAATGCAAGCTCAGAGTCCAAAGAAAAAATACCTCCGACACGAAACAAAAATAACTAAGCAAAGTGCTCAATACACAGGGCCAGAGTACCCTGATGATCCGTGTAGGTGAAACCTAGGTAGGTTTGCCTGGCTCTTGAGGTTCATAGTTATATATATATATATATATATATATGTGTGTGTGTGTGTGTGTGTGTGTGTGTGTGTGTGTGTGTGTGTGTGTGTGTGTGTGTGTGTGTGTGTGTATTCATTCAAGCGTGTTTGGTTAATCTAGTTATGTCTATTTATTTATATTTTTATCCTCTCGAATTCACCGATCAATTTATTAGTTCTGTTATAAAACTGCGTAAGAAAGACGTCGTAGTTTTGGTCATTTTTAAAAATTTGTTCCAATTTGAAGTTGATTAATCCATTTTGGAGTTGATTATTTTTTACCTGAAAATAAGTTCATTTTGAAGTTGATTATTATCATTTTGAAGTTGAAAAGGTATAGTTTGCTTAGCCATACATGCTTGAATGATAATAAGCTGCCTAAATTTATATATACATGTGTGTGTGTATCTATATATATATGTAAGTACCTATCTATCTATCTATCTATCTATCTATCTATATATATATATATATATATATATATATATATATATATATTTTAAAATTTTGGGGTACGGTTTTCTCACACCATGACAAGAACAAAAGTTCATATAAACATATGTCCGCAAATCCTTTGTTTTTAAGTTTAAAGATTACGGTAGACTCTTTTAAATGTACAATCCACGCTACAATCCAAAAATACTTTCATAAACTTTGGAATCGGTTCCTAATAACAAAACAAGGTATATGTCCATAAAAGCATATTTCCAAAAGGCCATCATTATACCTCAAAATTTCCTCCGCATGCAGTGGTTGAAACATTGACCGGCGGAACCTTTCAAATACTCCCACACGATGTCGAATGATTTCGCAATTTATATGGACTTATGTCCTTGTTTTGGGTGAGAAACCCTACCCTAAAGCCTGTAAAAGTATTTTTGATACATCCTGTAGATATAAGTCGATTTAAATACCATATTTGCTGGTATATAAGGCGCACCTTTTTTTTTTACTAAAAATATCTTAAATTTCCCCTGTTTCTTATATGGTTTAAAATTCGCGGTAGTCGGTCAAAATTAGCTACCTGGCAACCTCTATTAGCTTAGAAGTAGCAATGGAACACGTGAATGGCAAGGCCTGATCCCGACCTTATACTTACAGGAAGAATAAAAAGACCCAGAATTGCACAAGTCTGCGAATGGGTGAAGCAAGCTTGGGATAATATTAGACCAGAAATTGTTGTGAAATCTTTTAAAAACTGTTGCATTAGCAATGCTCTCATAGGAATGGAAGATGACGCATTATTTAACGACGATGATAGCAGTACTGAAAATGAGTATCAGAGTTTTGATAACAAAGACGACGAATTTTATTTGAAGATGAATAAAATTTTAATGGTAACTGTACTGTTTTGCTCAATTGTAATAATTGCTTGATTTTTATTTTGTTTTCTTACCTTTGGATATAATAAAGTTTTTATTGGCTCGTGTTCTTTTTTTTTTTCCTATTATTTTTCGTTTAATTGTAATCATGGCTTGTTTAACCTAAATAATACCTCATAAATATAGCCTAGGTTGTACCATTTACTAATAATTTTACTAATTTTACAAATTACTATTTTTTTCTTGATGTTGCCCGCTGAAATTCGGGTGTGTCTTATATGCCGTCAAATACGGTAATTCTCGTCCATGAATGCCATGACTTCAAGATTTTGCCGATCATGGCTCTCCAGAACTTCTTTTTTACTTAATACCCGTAAATTCAATATTGTCATGCTTGTTCTTGTGGAATACAGTGGTTCCGTTACCTTTTGTCCCATATAAATATTTTTCAGCCCTTTCAAGATATGGCCGATCGTGGCTTTCTGTAGCTTCCTTTAATATCTGTACCTTCCTAGGACTTCTTGGGAAATGTATATCGATCTGGATAACCTATAGGGAATTCTGAAATTAATTCAGTTCGATTGAGTTCAAAATTCTCGGTAGTTTATTCAGATCAATATACACCTGAGGAAAGCCGGGGGCACAACGGCCGAAACGTTGCAATAGCAGCATAGATGAGAAAAATAGTCCGAATATAAATATTTTCAACAATATTTTCCAATTCAGAATTATCAATTTATAGTTTTTCCCCTAAGTTTAACTTAGTTTTGGCACATAG